GTGGTCAAAGTCACTACTTGTCGTGAGCACTTTTTTTGATGATGTTACTCCGATAGGTCTCAATAATTCACATAAAATTGAGGTCTTGTTCTTTTAAAATGTGTGTTTCAAACTGTGTTCTTTAATCTCATTCCTCAAAATAAATTATTACAACAAACATGTAATTAATAGTGTTAATAATTACACGATATTAAAATCTAACTTTCAACCATAATATGGAAACCAGTATTTAAATATTAACAATGTTATTGCTAATATTTCAATATTTATGTAGCAAATATTTGTGTGATTTTAGTTTGTTGATTATTGTGCATACTGTATTTTTTGCATGCATACATAAGAACAAAATTGACCTCTTCCGCCATTAGTTAGACCCCTGTTGTAATGCCTTTTTAATTGCTGTGATTTTATATTTTTTTAACGCCGATGTATTTCACGCCTTCTAGGAACCTATCGTTTACACGGTTGACAATATTTTACTCTCTACTGCATGTGTACATTACTTATTAAAGAATGCATAAACTGTTGCACTCATTACACGATTTAATTATTATGGGAAATAATTTTAAAATTTATTCGAAATTTCTATGCTACATAATGTCCTCAGATTTTTTCCGATAACTGTCAAATCCATAAATTGAGTAAAGGTGTCATTAAACAAGATTTTTAATTGCCAAAATAATTAACAATCAAACAATATGAACATAATAATGTCAGAAATAATTTGCTGGTGAATCAACTTTTTTATAGAACTTTTTAATTATAAGGCATTTATGACGTTCACATTTCATTTTGAGTGTTGTGGCTAGTAAATTGAAAAGTATCGCACTTTTTAACTTTTGAGAGCTCACCAAATTATTTGGCTCTGCAATAAGAACAAGCATCGCTCAATCAAACTAAAATTCCAGTCAAGTTTGATATTGTGCTATTTGCGGCTGGGATTTGGATTGCACGATGATCAATTGCTTCGCATTTCTATCTTGGAAGAAAATCTTGTCGTGGTTGGAAAATGCATTTATTATTTTATTAGATTAGTAAGACCAGCTTGGCGCATTCCTTATTACAGATTCTGTCTGAGCAATGTCTTCTTAGCCTCGTCCGGTTTACGGATCTTGACAAGTGAGATATTTCACCACGTCGTCGTCGTCGTAGTCCAGTTCAAGATGCAGCAATCTCTCGGCACAGATTCATTACAAATTAGATGTTAGATTAAATAAGAAACATATCTGATAAGCGTTAGTTTCATGTTCCCATTAGAAAGAACTGGTCTTGTTCTTGATGCCCTCCTGACAAGAAGCATAGCCCGATCGGCACAACTGTGTCTCTTAAGCAATCAAGTAGCTCGGAGCAAATCGTGTAATATGTTTTATCACGTATTTTGAGGATGAGTCCATTTAATTGGGAGTCCTCTCTTACAAAATGCATCATCTCTCGACGTTGACAACTTTTGTTTCTTTTGTTTGCTTATCTTGATTTCTACTCCAACACTCTTTCTTCGCCGACTGTTAACATGAAAGACAAGTAACTTTTACCCATCTGATACATTCACGCTTATAAAAATACTTGTTTTGATAATAGTTGAATTTAACTGCCCAGTGACGAAAACTGTGGCACGAATCTATCTACCATCATCTATTAATATTTTATTTACCTGTTCCTTTTTAATGTTGCATAATACTTATGTAATGCACTCCAGTATTGTTTTTATTTTCTATACAAGAATTTTTTTACATCCGTACACAGTATTAAGTTTCCTTAGATTAGTATTACGTCCTAATATCCACAACACCACCACGGATGAAATCTTCCAACAAAATCGTGTTTGAAGAAAATAAATCATGTTAGAAATGTCAAATTTTCAACAAAACATTTTGTCAAACAATCCTAACCGAGTTTTGAGTTGTGGGAACGGGCTAAATTTTCAAACGGCAATTGGGGACCCGTATTGTTTTTTTTTGCAATTGTGGGGCCAATTTGACCACCTGTTACATCATGAGAGATGACTGCGCTTGAATTATTCACAAGTCTTTTTTAAATAAACCCAGAAAGAAAGAAATGATGATCTATTCACATTTGGTAAACAATGCATGGGATGCAACAACAGAAGCAGCATCACGTTGTAATAAACAGTGTAAAGGTGGTTGGATGGAAGGTAGGTGGAGAGGAGACAAAGTTAACATTTGAGACATTGCAACTTGCGACAACAAAAACTATTAATTGAGTGCGAAACCTATGCAACAACAAGCACGACAACCGTCAAGTTTTACATCCAGTTTCTTGCTGTGATGGGAAAAGAACATGCCTCTGAGGTAAAGCTAATACGCCAGTTTTTCATCTCCGACGATGTTTGTTTCAATGAAAGAACGCACGCTTCCATGCTCAATTACAATCCACCGTTTACAATAATTAAAACAAATGTTTACCATCTTTGGAGGACAATCAACTACTAAATAAAAGCTACATTATACATCTCTGCATTCTTGTTAATTTGTAATTTCTTGTTCGAAGTGCATAATCCTATGCATGGTTCGAAATTCAAATGAACAAGATCCTACAAAGGGACTGTCGGTATAAATAATTATATAATATTAAATTTGCTGGTTTTTCTGAAATACATAAGGGTGCATTGAGTATGTAGAAGTAAGACGCATCTACAATTCGAGAACTCGATTCTGTGCATCGGTCGATATAACATGTACATACTTGTACTTATGTGCATGTCATATGTACCTTAAAGTTTTGTAAATACAAATTAACGAGAAATCGTAAAACGCTGCTTATTGAACTCCTTTGCTTACGGACAGATTACAATAGCATTTACAGGGCTAAAGGACTTTGAACTAATTTTATTGAATGTAACTATGTACAATATGTACATTTGTATACTCCCTCCGTTTACAGTTGAGTTCAATTATATTTAAAGTTGACATCATCCTTATGCAAGTGATGACATTAGTCAAACAACTAGAACAATGGTGACAATGGGCGCTTCCGACGCTTTTTTAATTAATGTCAACGTTTGACTTATTGACATGTTTTTCTTATTGTAATGTCTTCTTCCTCAATTCATTTTAGATTTTAGTGATCAAGAGTAGGCATACATGTTTAATATGATGTATGAACATATCTCAAGCGAGGACAACCGGTATACAGAATGTAGATTTAATTAAGAAAATTAGCCGAACCCCGAAATTTTTCAATATTAGAATTCAATCTCAATTCAATCAAATTCAACTTCCAGGTAAGAAATAGTAACAAATTCTTAAATGATTATCTTTCCTAATAAAATCAGCACGTTAATTTCAGTTATGCAGAGCTCATGGCTAAACTGCATCTTACACTTTTCATAAGTATTGTACAAAAAATGGATCGCCATACACAATTGTTCCGTGTGCATCGCCGTGGGAGATATACATAAATGCTAAACAGTGTTTCTTTCTTTAGTCCACGTGCCCTTGAATGAATATTGCAGTTCTAAATATCTTTGAGATTTTCACCTGCATCAACACTTCAATTAGGAACGGCAACATCAAGAATGCAGATCGAAATAATGGTCAGTTTGCTTGATTAAGTTGGCACCCCAAGATATGATCAGTAATTGAAATCTTGTGAAGTACAAGGTTGTGATTATGAAGGCATTGTGTATTATTCGTGTATTCGTGTGGACAACTAAATGGGCGGCTAAGAAATGCATAACTATTAATAGCTATGAATAACTTCAATGAACTATGCTGGGTGTATATGCATACATACATAAATATATACCTACATATTCTCATAGTGCGTCTTGTTCTTGATTTTGAGAACAAATTGTCAGTTTGTCTCATTCTCGTGGTAATATAATTATGCATTTTCATTACATCTTGGCATATAATGTAACTGATATGGCAAGGTTCGGTTCAAATTACCGTCAGACAAGATACTAAGGTGGTTGTTTGTCATACCCTTATTTTTATGTTGAACCATAAACTTTTTATTATTCGATAGAACAAAAAAACTTTTGTCTGGGTTTGACCACTGTAATTCGCAGATGCATGCATGCATAAGTATACGTATTATGGCATGACCACCCTGTTTGTTACCTATTCATAGATTTGCACGAAGTCCTTTTATTTTACCACGCCAGGTATGCATTTATTTATATAAGATGCGCATATTTTTTTTATCCAGGTCCATGTTAAGTTTTTGCACAGCGTCTTTTGCAAAATATTCCTCAAAGAATGAATCTGCTGAAAGTTGGAATCATCAACCTGCATTATTGTTGTAAACCGCAAACAATTTAGCGTCACCAATCAATCTGAAGTTGGTTGTTTAGTGTTCACTCAAGTTTGCCCAACTTTGACTCTGCACGTCTCGACTCTATAATAGTTGAGCAAAATCAGAAATCAATTTGTGAGAAATGTCAGAGTTTTGAAATCATTCCTTCAACGTCGCGGTGTGGTTTTCTTCGGCGGAATCGTGTTTTCAACTTTGAATTTGGAATTATACTTGTGCAGATGTAGTAGCACGTAGTTGATGAAATGGAATGAATGAGATACAAAAGAGCAAGAGACAGGTGTGCACTCTTTTAGGAAGAAATGAAGCGACACTGAATACACACGACAGTTCATCATGAGACTTTAAATTTTGAAGGTTTTTGGATGGGCATGGATGGGCAATCCTCGGTCGACGGTGTCTTTGACTTGTGACTTTTCATGTTCAAACTCATCACAACCACAATAAGTAGCCTGATCTGATCACCTCGCAAACTGCCGTTTCATACTAACGAATAATAACGATTCATACGCTACGTCGTCATCTTATAAAGTATGATTACAGCTATGCAAATGCAACTAAATAGTATAATAAAGCATAAATATGCATGCACATTTGCATCTCAGATTTCACGATTGGTCGTGGAAATGAGGTGTTAACTACTTTCTCACTGGTCAAAAATATTCCAGCATCTAAAATAATTTAATTGTGCAACTTGACATGTAGTTTTACTCTTTTATTTCTAGTTGGACGATACTACACTTCAGCTCTATAAAGATGGGGAGTTTGGACAATATTTGGATCTGGAATCCACCATAAGCGAACAACAGGAAGACTTTGAAGGGTTTCTTGACAAGTAAGCAGTTTCCATATTTCTTCCGACTACAGTGTTTCATGATTGAACTATGCTCATCTTAATTTATAGTTCAAGTGTTAATATTCGGATTTAATTTCCGCTGACTAGGAAAATAACTTGCTTCAAGCGTTAAAAAATTAAAAGCCCGAAAAGATATTTCCTCAGTTATACACTGTACATATCAGTGTTTGCTAAAAATTGGTCATCTTGGTTCACGGAAGTTGGCAATAACATTAGTGCATACACAGTTCGTAGACGCTTTGCAGGCGCACGAACTCCACTTCATCGTCGTTCTGTTTCTGTTGTCAAGCATCTGCTGAGCCTGATATGTTGAATGAATGTGATGTTTATGGTGTTTAAGTAAATTTAACCTGCGGATTAAAACGTATTTTCTGGTTGATGAGTTTTAAATGGTTGATCTGATCTGAATTCACGTTTTGAATGTCATCATCATACTATTACGTAATGTCATCTATCTTCGTGATCTCACGGTTGACGAGATGACATTGAATTCCGTAATGGAATCAAGTATTTCACTCAACGGTGAGCAGGAATGTGACACAAACCGTGTGGAACTAGATATGTATGTATGTACTTGGATTATGTGTTTCAAATATTTTATGCAATATTGCCCCTCAACAGCAAGTTTAAATTTATGAAATGAAATATGAAGTTGCACCAGTAATCTCAAAGAATGGCTTTTCCTAGAGAAGAGAGGCAAACGCTTGGAATTTTTTTTCTTTTTCTATTTCCTGTCGGCTTATAATGTGGCATACAAATCGTGCTCGTATTCATAAATATTGACTGCAGCGCAGGCACTTGCAAACCGCTACTAATTTACATTAATGGTCAGCAAATTGACCATTTGCCATCAGAACCGGTTTCCTGATCGTCGGTTAGCGAGATGCTACGTGAAAGGGGCAATTAGTAAACTTCATTATTCACTCCTCCGAAAACATTTTAAAGATTTTGATAATTTAGTTAGTGTTCTGCTGATGCATTCTTTCGAGAGTGTTTATGATAAATGCACTTGGGAGAAATTTACAATTTTAACGAGATGAACACATTTTGACGACTCTGATAAGGTGTTAATTAGAATGCACAGAGGCTGCAAGTTATCCCATCCCACTACACATGTGTACGCTGGCATATTCGCCGGTTTTCCTTAATGTTCACACTTCTTGTTCAGGGAAAAACAAATCCGTAAAATATGAGAAGTTTCGAATTTTGAGTGGCCCATGCAATACTTACACGTGAATTCAGTTCATGTATCCAAATACGAAAGTATAGTTCCAGTTAAATTTTAGAACCAGATTGAATATTTGCACCCCATAATCTTGATGAGCAGGGATCTTTTGTAAAGGTCTAGTCAAACTCAAGCAGAAGGGTTCAAAGGAGCACATACGTATTTATGTGTTGGATTGTAAAAATGCACACTTACTTCAGTTGCAGAAATAATTATCGCAGACTTTCAATACATGCTATAACTCACAGAATCCTACTTTCCAATAAATACCTAATGCTAAAAAACTGCTATAAGTAGTTCCGGGTTTTACGATCGTCTACACATATATTTATTTTCCGCATGTGAGGTATTGACAGGTTTTGGCTAGGATAAATGTTGACGTAGGGTAAACTTCTTGGATGTAATATTGCAATTTAGCTCAAAATGAGATATTGTACTGTTGTTTTCTTTAAAGTTAGTTAACTTTGCAGAACATTTGCAGTGTTTCTGCAGAAAAATATGTTATAAATAGCACGTGTACTGGCAAGCATACATGTTAACTTTACCAGAATATTGCATATGTATGTATACTGATATTTACACGCATAGAAGTCTTGTTCACATTTTTAATTTTCTGACAAACATACGCATTCAGTTTATGCGTATGCAGATTGCCACCACCATCGTTATTGCATAAATTGGCGATGATTTATTTTTTTAGACGTCGGATTATGGTTCAAATTAAAAAGGAAACATATTTAATCTAAAAAGATTTATGACCATAGATGTCCACTCACTTCACACAACACTCGTTCTTTGCTTTGCATGAAGCTTTCTCCATATACAACTCCAACCTACATGGATGGATCCTTAATTTCCAAACAGAGTGATGTGTGGTCGTAACACAATGTTGGAACTGCGAATGTGAGAAGGTTAAATTGGCATTAAATACGGATTACCAAATACAAGTTTAGATGCTGTTTTATCATGACTTGAAATGTAAGACAAACATTATACGAGTTTGATGTAAAATCCTAATGGATGCGATTCTATGTTTTCAACATCCTAAAACTTGATGTTAAATATGTAGGTATTCCTTCACAGAAGCTCAGTAACATGATTTATTAGAGAAATCAACCCAGCATTAAGCCCATTGTTTATAGCTATCGCTGCATATATTTTGATTTGTAAAAACTGCAACAAGTTTTGTAAATCGGTTGCAATGTACGACACAATTATGCATTTCTTACATATGCAAATATCCTTTTGGAAAAAGGTAATTGCATAGTGCAGGGAAATAAAACGCACATTAAAAAAGCTTTGCACTCAAAGTTAAGGTTTAATTAGCCACATAAATTTACCTCAAATTGACTTTAGATTTGCATAGCTATTTAGTGTGTTGTTTTGTAACCGCACATCTTTGCAGTTATTCAGTTCAATCTAAATAGCAATATCTCGTGTGATCCAGTAATAAAATCTAAAAAGACTGCCATTACTCACTTATTGCACACTGCTAAATATTCAACCGCAGCCAGCGTTCCAAATTAAGGTGCATTAAATTAATTGCATATTAAAATTCTAACTTCCGTTTTTATGAAAAAAAAGTTTAGCTTCATATTTTCATTCATGTTAAAAATATTTATAATTTATAATCAGTTTAGAATTGCATTTCGTACATAAAATATTTTGTATAGATCTTGGGACACGTGTAATTCATTTATATGACCATGTACTGTACATACATATTTAAGTATATTCTCCATAGTCGTACTCGGCAAATTAAATAATTATTTCTTAGTCAAGGCTGATTTCTTACTGAGAGACTGTGAACGAAGATGGGTAAATGTAAATTGTTTTACCTCCTTAAATGTATAAATTCATTAAATGAATTTGCGCAGCATGCAAAACCATGCACTTTGTAAATCTTACAGACTTCCATCACAAATTTCAAGTAATGAAAAATACGTGTACGTATTTACACTATTGCAGATCATACGCATTTGTTTTCGTTATCAGGAAGTTTTCAAATGTTATCTTATCCTTACATTTCTTGACTTTTGGCAGTCTTGAACCTGCTTAACGGATATTGCAACTACGTAGCCACGTAATGTACTGGTTTTCCACAGTTCATTTATCACAACTTGATATTGCCAATATGCGATTTATTAGATTTGTTACACAGACATTGCAAATGGTTCAATCAATTTATACATGCCAAAAATAAATATTTACACGTTGTCCAAAAATAACCGTCTAGGATTTTCCACTACTCTGAGAAGACTTTGTATAATAGAAATAGCAGCATGGAATCTTTGCAATTCCAATTGAGCTTGCAAGTACACAGAAACAAACAAAGATTTATGTGTATATCATTGTAATTCTCCTGGCTAAAGCTACATATTTCAAGAATGCAAAGCCGACATGTTTTTCTCATTAAACTGCTGTATTAAGTTAGTGGAACGTTATTGTTAATTAATTAATTTATCAAAGGATCCAAGAAGCGCACACATGGAAGTTAAATTGCATATACTGCTTACATATTTATATATTACACAGTACGCAATGTCTCATTTCGCATGCGCTCTTGCCTTGAAACTACTTTTCCAGTTTGTTTTTGCTACAAGAACGCAGTACGCCAACCTTTAATAAATACATTGATACTCTTTTCTTCTTCTTTTAACAGAGAAAACGATCTCCAGTTGATGACAATCTAAATTTATCTTAACTTCAATGTGCTCTGTTTCCTATTTTTTTAGCCGCAAGAACTCGATTGTCCTACGGGCCTGTCTTCCTGTCCGGGTTCATGCAATTATTGGTAAGTTGCCATCTTTTTAGGAAAATCCTCACATTCAACGACTTGCAAAAGTTTGTGTACATAAAGTCTGTGCATATAGAATATGGGCCAAAATTGTTATACACATATGCACGATTACGATTTTTAAGTCTCAAATCGAGGTTAGTCATCTCATCGTTTATGCAGAAGCACGACTGAAATTTTGTTATTAGCAATGAAAACAAACATGAGTCAATACGTCCAGCAGGCACAAGGAGAAAATACTTATGTGCAATTTACTGATTGAGAAGATAATATATTTGTACGACTGAAATCGATGAAACCTCTCTCAATAAACCAAGCACGTTATCAGTCAGAGAGACTTGGTCGCCCTGTTAGTGTTTATTTTTTTGTGAACTTGAACACTCGTGCAAGTGGGATTGAACATGACTCTTGGAAGAATTGAGTAGAAAACTTTAATTTGTCAAGCAAACACAATTTAGTTCTAAACAAATGCAGACGCTGTTGTTCCATTTCATTAGCACATGCACTTTCAATAGTTTGTTGTAATATAATTTGTATGTAAGTGATCTCTGAAGAAACAAGGTGATTGATGATCATTTCACAATCACAAACAAAAATGAAGGGGAAAGGTCAAGAGTTTAGGAAAACGAATTTTCTGGGTGAGGGAGACTCACAGAAACAAATTATGATGAATGAGTGTCATTCAGGTAATTAAAGTTTCTACAGAACCACTTTTCACACTTTAACAGGGAAGCGAGGTTGTCGAATGTTGTAATTTAATTATTTTGTTGGGAATATTATAGATTAAAAGTCAGAAATATTCAATTCTATTTAGATTTAGATCATTTAGTTTCATACATTTGAAAGTCTTTGAGTCCATTTGAATCTAGAGCATTTTTTGGTTAGTAACTTAATATCTGCTAATGATTCTACTGTGCTTATCCTTAGCCAATAAAACCACTAAGTTTTTATTGTATCACTACATACATACATACATACATACATTATAAAAAGGATGAAACTCAAGCAGGACTAATATCATATTATGCGCAGCTAATAGACATGCTTCATGCAAATAAGTGGGAACGCTATTTTTTACAAGAACAATTAATTATATTTGTATCGTGTAACAGCATTTCTTATCATTTATCAAGCTCAAATCTGGTACTGTACTGGTACAACTTTGCACACAAGGCGTTGATACATCTGACTAGAATTTGATCACGAAGTGCTAAACGAAAAGGAGCACTCAAATGACTTAAACCGACGAATTCAAAGAATCTCTCCCTCACATTGTTGTACATTAACACTTGAATCACGAACTTGGCGTTGTAATTTTTGCTCTGATCTGATTGAAATTAATGGCTTGTGTTGAGCCACTTTTACCGACTTGAACTTTCTACACTGCACTATTGAGTGAGAATGGGTTTGGTTTAACAAGTATGTGATGAATTGTTCTGGTTCACCTTTTAGAGAAACTATTGACCGAGAATGGACGGGAGTTACGAAGGGCATTATTCTCCTTGAAGCAAATATTCCAGGTTAGACATAAATGTGTACATATTTAACAGTTGAACAAAATAATAATGCATCCCAATGTTCATTAAACCCCTAAAATATTAAAGCAAACTTTCAGTTTTTGTAATTTTTACTATCACGACATATTACGGGATGCTCTTTATTGCTTCAAATGGTAAACGAGAACAATAACTAATTCTAACTTATTCGAGCATGTAGATATTTACAGTGAGTCGAAATTCTTAGTTTAAAAGTATATTATGTATATTCCCCCATTGTACTTATTTGATATTGGGAAGTCCCATTGTTGTTTAGTTTTTGTTTCTTGTCCTGAGTTGCCTGTACAAAAGCTCAGTATCCTTACACATAATAAATAGGTTTCAATTTAAAGTCCCCAAATTGTAGTAAAAACGCAGTAAAGTTATGTACAAGTTACACATTAATGTTTATCTACGCAGGAGGACAAAGATTTAGTGCACGAGGTAAGTTGAATTGATGATTTCTCAAATTATGTATGCTTATAAAGATTGAGGTGGTTTATATATGTCCGATGAGTAAATGGTGAAAATATTGGTGAAACCAATTATTTTTGTTCTCCAACCTGGTAAGAAGTATCAGTGAAAGTTGAACTTTCTGTAGCTAAATGATTTAATATTCTGCATAAGAAATTCGAACCTCAATCTTTACTTACTTAAAGGCCTATCCATTAAGTTGTAATTCGCAGTTATAATTACTAATTATTCGTTTTTATTTACCCAGTTCGTGGAGAATGGTGGACTCAACTGCTTAATCAAAGTTGGATCTGATGCTGACCAAAACTACCAGAACTACATCCTCAGAGGTTAGAAAAGTGAAAACGGACGTACATACATAACTACTTAAATTTAAGTTGAAAGCATTTTTAACTTTATGGCTTAATTTCAAAAAACTTTATGACTCTTGTTGGGGTTTGGATGGTAATGATTTCGTGATGATTTCGTGAAGGGCATACATTGCACTTGCAAAAAGTTCCAAACCGTGCAATTTGAGGGAATTGTACTGCTGGGGTATTATTATGTATGCATGCACATGGTACTAAATATATTTACTTGTGCATATACATATGTACATACGTTCCCCTTCTTCACTCTTATTCATTTGCAATTAAATAATTATCTAGTGCATAATTGTCTGAGTACATTAAAATTTTATACTTTTTGCAAATAATAATTCTACTCCTTTTCAGCGATTGGTCAAGTAATGCTCTATGTGGACGGAATGTACGGTGTAATGAGACACAACGAAACAATCCAGTGGTTGTACAACTTGGTGGCCAGCAAATTTCCCCTCGTTCAAAAGACTGCCTTGAAGCTCCTCCTTGTCTTTGTCGACTATCGAGTCGACCTTGCCGACTACGACAAAGAGGCGACCTGTCTTCTCTTGATACAAGCTGTCTCCACAGTGGATCACTCCAAAGGTACGTAATCAATCCGATTCATCAGCAAAAAAATAGATTGGAAATATCTGTAATGCAAGATTCGGAAATGGTATGGATCGAGTAAGACTTTTATTTTCCATACTGAATTATTCTTTGCATCATCATCACGGTGCAATTCATCCACCCGTGAGATTACTCAATAACTGGCTCCAGACCGAGCTGCTAATAAAAGAATTGTGAAATTTGACAATGGTGAACGCTGAAGAATTTCAAAGTCTCAGTAGTCTCACATAGTTGCATAATAGTCTTCAGAGCTAGAATAAGATGTCTGTTCAGTTTGGTTGGGATTCCCAATGAGTTTTAAAATGTTTCTTGTGCATGTTAATGCGTGTAATGTACGATCCACATTTTCTGAAAAGCTTTTCTGCCTGCTTAACTCCACACAAATTGCACTCTAAAGAAAATGAGCTTGCAAGTTTTTATCGTGGAAATGAATAACCTTTCATTTATTCAAGGATGATGGGCTACCAAAGTGTTTGATCTTGTTCAATTGATTTTGGAAAAACGTAATCCATATGGAATGTATGTACCTACATGCGTACATACATTTACATAAGTATTTATATAATGTGATATCGTCGTGCTTCTTTGTCTCCTCAGTCGCGTGGGCGTATATTTATTGAAATAAGTAGATGATTAATATAGGAATGTATGTGTAAAATAGTTATTTAAATGAATGTTTGTAAGTAAATAATATAATTGTTCTTGACAGGATTGGAGGCATGGTCCAATGTGATGAATCTCTTGAGGGAACAGGATTCTAATTCCGGTGACTCGGAATTGTTAGTTTAACACTTTGAAAATAACATTATTAAGGCTAAAATTACACTTGAATTAAACTACTAATTTCATATGCAGGGGAACTTATGCAATGACTCTAGTCAATAAAGGCAAGTGCTTTAATAGTACATATCACTATTCTACGCTCATGTATAAAACTATCGAGATGACTAAAATCCCTGATTGACTCTTAATAGTTCTCAATGCAATTCCCGATATCGACACGTACTATGATCAAGTGGATGCTTTGGAGGAACAAGGAATGGCTACCATTATTCAAAGGTCAGTTACTAAACAAAAGGTCAAGTAATGCACATAAACTTTAGTTTGCAACCATTAAAGTTTTGCATGAAATGGTGGAAGTTGATAATAGATCTTAACAATTGACTAAGTAGTATCCAATAGTTAACAAGAATATGATGCAAAATTTAAAAAAATAGGAATGACAGATTTTAGACGTTTAAGTCTATTGAACGTTTATTGGCAAAATGACGCAAACAGGGGAATACGATCGAGTATGCTTCATCAAGAAATGACGATCATCGACATATTTATTTGCCTACTACATACAATGAAGGACACCACCACCAGTACGTGACCCTTCATAAATGTGTAAATAAAGGTTCAGTTTTCAGATGATGATATTTTTAGGTACATAGATTAAAGCTCTATGACGTTTGAGCATAAAAAATGCTTGCTAATAATATACACTAATTTACATACATACGTATCGTTCTTATTTGTTCGTGAATAAGGAACGAAGAAAGTGAGAGCTGCACTTTGCATGTTTTAATCATTGCATCCTGTGCACAGTTTAATCATTTAATAAAAACAACGAACGAAATTGGGGATAACAAGCGTCTCGCGTAAAATTACTATACTCCTGCATAATTTCCTTCTCCTAAATATGGAGGGTGCGTAACTAGAGATTTTTAAATAATGAACACATTACATGTATTTAAGGCCTCGATTGTTAAAAAGCATAAGAGACATGCAATAGTTTTCAGGATATATCACCTAAACCCACTCAGTGTACATATCATTCAAGTCAACTTCCATATCCATGTGCAGTGAAACACATTAGTGTAATTGAAGATAATGTTGAATTAATTCAAAGTCAACCCATTATTATATAACAACAAGTTCTCTAGTAGACCAATTACTACTTGTGTTTTTGTTTTTGGTGTGTGCAGTTACATGGGGAAACAATGCGCAGACTTGGATTTACTGTAAATCACTCATTTACATATAAGAGTTAAATATAAATTTGGAATACTAACTTTTAATGAATTAAATGCTTGCAGTAAGCAGTTTCAGATTTACGAACTAGTTTTAAAGCATGAGGACGGTGAGGAGGACAACATTATGATGCAACTGGACGAGAGCATGAGGTACATATCAATCACAAACATATAATTTTTTAGAAATTTTTAGAAAATAATTCCTCTTTTGGGATACAGGAGCAAGCTTCTAAGTCGGAAGGGGTACTCTGAGACGGAGACAGGAGGGGTCACAAAGGACAGGAGAAAGTCTCGTCGTCATTCTACGAGCACTCCGCCCACCACCCCCAACGGCACCTCCGCGGTTCCTGCCTTTCCAAGACGGCTGTCCTCCGCGGACGTGTCCCCATACAGCTCTCTCTCCTCATCCAGCTCGATTAACGGGATTCCTAATGGCCATATGAAAGAAAAATGTATGTTGCAATTTGGCGAACGTTTTTTTGTGATATTAGGTCATTGTTAACGTATACGTTTTACTAAATAGCAAACATGGAGTTAACGCCCGGCTTAAGAAGACGAAGAGAACGTGCAGAACATCAGAAAAATCTAATCTTGGAGCAATTAGTCAACGGTGGTGGAGTAAACGGGGGAGATTTTTTGGATCCGTCATCAGATTCGCCAACAACTCACTCTGAAGAATCTCTAGACTTTATATCGCTACGACGTTCTAGTGGAAGTAGGAAAGATTTGAATTCCTTGGAGTTTCAAAATAATCTGAGGAACAGTGGTGGAGGTGGTGGAGGAAATGCTAATGGAACCTCTTCTGCTGCTCGACCATGGATGCTACCCATTTACACAAAGTCAAATGGAATGGCAAATAGTGGTGCAAGTATTGTAAATGCTGGTTCCAAGGAGGGTGAAAATAGAGATGACCTGGAAGTGAAAAGAGAAAACACGGTGAAGGATCTAACCCAAAAGTTAGCCAGTCAAAATTTACTTGCTAGTCCAGAGGAGAACAAGTCGTTTATTATCAATGGAGAGTTGTCAGGTATGCATGTCTGTACTTTAAATTTTTAAAGATTGATTGATGCCTTATTTGTATGAATATATGTAAGTATTGGCCCGGTTGTATTCTGATTTTAGGTGTTATTTCAAAAGCAAAGGAAGGTTTAGCCAAGTCTAAATCTAGACTTGATATGAAACAACAACCAAATGACAGCAACAGTAACAAAGGGGTTTCGCTGGAAGTTAAAAAGTCTGATAATGAACTAGAGGCCCAGAGACATTGGGAGTTTCTGGTATTTGACACTATATTAATTTGTTTATTTATGCGTATATTTGCAAGAAATGGATATAACGATTATTGCACAACTTTTTACGTAAAAACTAATTTCATTTTCATAGATCAACAATTTGCAACGACCTCTGGAAATTTGTGGTATGTACACGAGATCCTTTTACAGACTTATGGGATGATTTTCGGCTAACTAATCCTAAGTGAGACATCTGCTTCAAATTTTACAGATCTTGATTTTACTGATCTGCAATGTTCGGATGACGAGGATATTCTGGCTCCTGATCCGTCTCATAATAATATGAATGGATTCGGATGTCCTCCCCCAGTGCCCATGATGATGATGAATGGGCATGGACCACCCCCACCACCACCAAGCTCTGGTTCTGGAAGATACGGTGCAGCTCCTCCACCTCCTATAAATGGTTTCGGGCCACCCCTCTTTGGTGTCAACTTGAAAAATTTAGGATCCAACAATACCGCAGATTCTAAGACCTCGACTCCAAAGAAGACGAAGAAAACGGTCAAATTATTCTGGAAAGAGGTTCGAGACGACCCAATCACTGCGAGCAAGTTGGAGAAAGTTGGCTGCATTTGGAATGAGATTGAAATTCCACCGATTGATACGCAAAAACTAGAAAACTTATTTGAATCCAGGGCAAAAGACATAATTAGCAAGGTTCGTTCTGTGAATATCATTATTGCCAATCACTGGGTTGTTCCGTGTCCAATTTTGGAATACCTAACAAACTAGATACATATTTGCTTTTAAAAAGTGGAGAAATAGTTGTTGGTATTTTGATATTGGTACATTGAATGGAAGTACGAAAGTAGTTACGCTTGACTGCTGGGTTTAGTGTACATATCATTGGGGTCTTGATTATCTGCACTTTATTAGAGAATATTATTTGCACGACTATCCCAAAAATCCAAAAATATATATTTATTTAGCTTAATAATGCCTCCCATTTATTTAGCTTAATTTTAAACCCCAATTTATTGTTATTTTATTTATTTTCTGTAATCAATTAGAGAAAATAGTTAACACACTACAAATTCAACAATCAATCAAAATGCACAGATTAAAATTACACATTATTTTATTTCCCCACTGCCGTTCAGTTTAATATCTTAAACAGACTCAGAAATAATGCAACTTAATTGAATTTTCTTGTTTATTTGCTGCTTTCTATTTCCTTGTGGGGGACTTTTCATCTTTTCATGGACATTGATAATTCAGGAGGTAAGTATATGAGAAAGTTGAGTTGAGACGACGATAGGAATGTTTATGAAAATTTTGAATTAAAGCAATTAACCCGATAATTATAATTTATATTACTAATTCCACCATACATATATAGCTTCATTCCTTAACAGTCATACTCTATTTGAACATTAAGTTATCCCTTCTACATATCTTTTACAAGCTATAAATTCCTAGCTTCAAATTCTCCTAGCCATTTATTAAGACATCATTTCTCTTCCAATTCTGTCCCTAAATTTCTAGTTTTATTTCGTATAAAGTATTTGAAATATCGTCAATTCTGATATTTTAGAAACAGTCTGATGTGAATAAGACGAAAGAAATAGTTGTGCTGGATCCGAAGCGAAGCAATGCGATTAATATTGGGATGACAAAGTTACCACCTCCAAGGACTATCAAGGCAGCAATTATGAAGATGGACTCTACAATTGTGAATAGGGAAGGAATTGAGGTTAATTTGAACAGATCAATTTTTTGGACTATTTTTTTTTTGGTTTATTTGTGTGTACATATATGTATTTCTCTCTTCAGAAACTCTTGACTATGCTCCCAACGGAGGAAGAGCGTGCAAAAATTACAGGTATACCGATACTTCTCGTCTTAATTATAGATTAAAAATGACTTGGCTACTTAAGAGGGCATTCAAAATTATTACATGTTTATATTCTTCTACCACAGAGGCTCAATTTGCTAATCCTTTGGGTTGTTTGGGATCAGCAGAGCAGTTTCTGTTGACCCTGAGCCAGATCTCCGAATTGACAGCACGCCTCAAGCTGTGGGCATTTAAGCTTGACTATGAAAACCTGGAAAGAGTTAGTGCTCACTATTATGCATTTATTCATGTATCAATTCAACTTTCCAGAATTGACTATATAAATATCTTAAGTGAACTTCCAGAAAAGTCTCTTAATTTGTATTTGAATGTGTGTTTAGGAAGTGTGCGAACCCTTGATGGACCTGAAGACTGGGATCGTCGATCTTGAGAAAAATAAAACATTCCGATACATACTGAGGTTGTTCATCATTCGGCAACACTTAAATTAAAGTTATGCATTAGTCATTAGTAATGCTATTTTGTTTTATTGTCACATAGCACACTTTTGAGCATTGGCAACTTTCTAAATGGTGGTGATGCTAAAGGCTTCCAAATAGAATATCTGGTAAGCACATAACTATTGGTTTATTTATATTTTTGTACACTAATGGACGAAATCGTTGCCTTTTAGTCAAAAGTTCCGGAAGTGAAAGACACTGTTCAAAAGCATTCTCTCCTTCATCATCTTTGTCAAACTGTTAATGAGAATTATCCCGACTCATCTGATCTCTACTCCGAGGTAGGCACTTACTTTAACAATCTATACGTGAATGTCATTATAAATCAACATACATAATTTATAGATCGGCCCTGTAACTAGAGCTTCTCGAGTGGACTTTGATGAAATTTGCGCCAATTTAGTGAAAATGGAGAACGATTGTAAAACTTCGTGGGACCATCTTCGAGTAATTGCAAAACACGATGGCCCCACAAATCTAAAATTAAAGTAAGTACGAAGTGTGGTGACAAAGAAAATTAAAATTCAACAAATATGATGTAATTTGACGAATACTTTTTTTTCTAGATTATCCGAGTTCCTTGCAGATTGTGCTGAGCGAATAATAGTGTTGGGGATGATTCATAGAAGGGTTCTCAACAGGTGCATAAAAATATAATAAATTACACAGTTTTACATACTTGCTCTCAGTCTCCAATTCTACCAATTCATCTAAAGTTCATAGGAATAACTACCCGTATAATTATTTTTCAACAGATTTCACAAATTTCTTCTGTGGCTTGGTGTTGCTGGTAGGTACTAGATAATTATGAATATATGTATACCAACCTGTTTTAATGTGTTACGACAGCTTGCTGTAACATATGCTATGTTATTAAACATTGCATCACATACAGGGAAGATGAAATAGATTTCATCTTCCCTCACATATATCAGTGCATATGAATAATATCATCCCACTCCGTGGTGTCAACCCCGGCCAAATAAATATTCGTTTACTTTTATCAGTCAGCCGGTTTGTCTTTCTCTCCGTGCAAAAAGTAGTATATTTTTAATCAATAAAACTTGGACAAGAGACAAAATGGATAAGTCTGAGGACGATAGTAATGAGGTAAGGTTGATACTCTAAGTTAGTTGTTGTTAGTGAGTAAGAAAATGTTTTACTTTATAGGAAAATCCAGTCCCTGTGAAACGGATCAGGATTTTGGTGGATATGCCCGTGTCAAAAGCCCCATTTAATTTGATGACTTGCAATTCTCAAGGAGAACATGTTGAATTGAACGGTGAGTGTACTGCTTATAACAATTGTTATTTATGTTTGTTGTTTATGACATAATAATAATAATGTATTTTTTGTAGTGTTACAAATAGAAGACGAATCTCCTTCAACCTCGACCAAAGTGAAAGTGGATTCAATCATTAAAGCAGTGCTGCAGGCGATGATTGACAATAGTGGATATGCGGGGACGATGGAGTCATTCTGGGAATCGGACGAGAGGAAGAAGATGACTGATAAGTGGGCTAATCTCGTCCAAAAATCCAACAACGACACGGAAAAGTACACCCCCCTCGAAGTAGTTTATAATAAGGACAAGCTTGCGATGCAACTGGTGGGTGGGTTGCTACAAGTGGTGAAAATGCAAAAAGTTGGGAGTGAATGGAAATTCAATGGGTGGTCGGGTCGTAAGAAGAAATGTAGCTTTTCTGCTTGTATTGTAGTGTGTCAGGTAAATGAAATCATGATCGTTAATAACTATGATTGCAATTATAATTATGATGAGATAATACACGTTTGTATTACCTTGAAGGTTGGGAATTTCTGTGATACTCATGCCCCCAAACAAGTTCTTTTACTTCAAGATATTCGAGCTACTCCCCCTGTGCTGGCCTTGTTCACTCCTTACGCCTCAGCTTTACCCTACACTGAGAGTGAAGTACGAAAAAAACTGGCTGATTGTGGGGTTAAGAAATTGAGGGCAGGAAAAGAAGTTGAGGGGGGATCGGAAATACGGAATCAAAGTATCCAGCTGTATAATTATGTTGTAAGGAAAAGGGCCAGTAAAGAAGACACTTTCTTTCGGATTATACGACGGTGGCCTTTTCAGGACGATAACAACAAAGTCCGTCGTTCCGTATATGTAAGTGTTTACATATAAATAATGACTGTCACCCTTAATTAAAATCTATATTTCTATAATTGCAGTTGGCTGTGTCATTGATGGTGATGATAAAAGGAGGTGCAACTCTGTTGAATTCGAGAATTCTCTTCGTTGCTGCTGACTTGCCCTGGGTGAAGTCTTTTTTGAATAATAACGGGGTGCTCTTCGAAAAGGGAGAACAAGTTCAAGAGTCTGTTAACTCTACTTCACCAGGCGTGTCGGGAGAAATCAATCGTTCTCTGCCGTATGTCTATCTCGGAAGAAATGATGAAGGACAATTCTACACAGGGGTTCAAAATCAAGTACAGCTAACAGTTTCTGGAGCAAAATCTCCATACCATGCTTACTCCAAGGCTGAAACGGGGATGGATTCATTCACAGAGGATGAAGCCACGGTCATTTTCCAGAGCCCTATTCCTAACTTGTTGCAACATGTAATTACCACTACTAAACGGAACCAGTTCAGCCCAGCAGAAGAAGCGGAATTTTGCAAAATGGAGGAGGCTGCCAATAAATATGAAACCCTTGTTCACTCAGTCTTGAAGATTGGAGAGATGCTCGGTCAGACCTACAAAGGGGCGCTAGTTAATGGAATTCCAAAGCAGTTGAATCATTTTGAGGGTGCTATTAATCTTGTTGATCTCATGTCTACGTACTCTTTCTTGTTTGATTCAAATCTGGTCATGAGTGATGTTAGTCAATTAGAGAAAGGTGGTGATGGAAAGGTTGTTATCAATTTTGTTGTTTAGTTATTCTTACGTATGCCCAGAACTTGTAACACATTCATGAACTATTTCAACTAAAAATAAAAATGTCATGCAAAGAATATATCAGTTTGCACAACATGGTATCACCATGTCCGTACATTTCGACAATGCGCATTAGATAGTTAAATCACAACATTGTATGAAATTATCTAATTAATTACTTTTCGACACGGCAATCTTTTGTCATCATATCCCCTAAAACGAAAGAAATGAACCTATTTGGATTAAAAAGTGCATATTATGTTAATTGCAGCACACCAAGTCTCAACTACCAAACCCCACACATTGTTCAAAATCATTTCAGAATTCGCATTGGAGTACAGAACCACACGAGAAAGAGTGATACAACAAATGCAGAAAAAAGCTAGTCACCGAGAACGAAACAAAACTCGGGGAAAAATGATAACCGAGGTGCTTTGTAGTTGTCCTTATTTATGCCGAACATTTATACTTGCTATTGATAATATCGCAATTTTATAAATTGTATTCTCAATTTCATCAGCAAATCATGTACAAATCAAAGGAGGATCAAGAAGACGAAGAACTTCGCCAAGTTCTAAACAAGACTAGTAATGTCGGAACTGAGGAAGTCGTTAATGGGTCCTTGACATGGTCTCGCCGACTGAAACCACCCGCAACTCCAACCACCCCAACAAACACACTTTATCACAACTTTAACAGCGGGAGCAGGTCATCAACGCTTAGCAGCAACGGTACGCTTGGTGATGGGGATGACGAAATTTTGGAAAGTTTGGTCAAGACAGCAACGCGCACGGCCGACACGAGAGTAGCGACGCGAGAACGGAAACGAAACAATGGGTTGAGAAATAGCGCAGAGAGAAAATCACGTAAGCCTAAAAATAAAAATAAATGAATAAACTTTAGTCACTCCATAACTTGTGATGATAAAGATGAATGTACTAAAAGCAATCGAATTTTTATCGTTACAATGCTGCAGTAGTTAAGCGATCACGAACACGAGAGAATAACGTCGGCACAAGTTTATATGACATTCTTAACTGAATGGGTATGACAAAGTCGTAAGCACTTTCCGAATCCGATTTACTAATATCCTCGTGTTTGCGTGGCTGGTTAAACTAATATTTGCAAATAATCCAATCAAATTATATTTATTATTTCTCTTGTTTACTCTAAAATGGGTGTTTTATGCATTTTTACTTATTTTAAAATTTATATTCTAGCGTATTTTTGTGTAATATATTGCAGTGAGACGAACTTTAAGGCACGGCCTAACCGAAGAAGAACGGAACATGCTCGCAGCGTTTATGGCCACAGGGCACTCTTTTTGCTCATAATCAATCTTTTTAATCCTCGTTTATCTTAAATTATTACAATGTTGGTCAGCTACATATCTGTTATAAATTGCACTGTGTCGTGTTATGGTTAGTTTTCGACTATGCGTATTTAGGTTGACCCACGACTCGACCGTCTTGTTTTACTGCTCAGAATTGTGTCTTAAAATAATTTTCAGTTTCCTCATGCGACGACAGGATGATGTGTATAAAACACTGTTTATACCTAAATTTTGAAATTTTTATGTATGTCATTGTCGTAATCCTGTCAATAAATTGTGATGATTAATGAAGTGGTTACCTGTGCTATGCACTTTGGTATTTACAAGAATGTTAACTCGAATAAATTTTCGAAATAAAGCGTGAAACATATTACTTTGGTGGGTTGGTCTATTTTTTTATTCATTGTTTGATGATTGACTAGGAGGAGGAGAGGACTATTGTATAATCAAACATTTTATAAAACTACAAGAGGTATTACATACCAATAAAACACATAAAGTTCTAGTATAAAGTGTGGAATCCTTAAAATTTAATTACATATATTAAAACAACCCAAGCTATGGCATTTGGAACGATATTTAAATGCGATTTACGAACTCTAATAAACATAAGGCCAACCTAAATTCATTGTGCATTTCCCAATACTTACAACAAAATTGTGAACATTACACTTTTTCAGTAGTGAGAAAATATAAAAGTTTACACTCAGCAAAAAAAAATGATCAAAATAAAATATTAAAAATTATTCAAGCTTGTTACCATTTTTCTTACATTATATTTCTTAGGATAGCAAAGGCACACTAAGTTATTCAATTATTATTAAAAATGCATATACACAAAAACCGGGCTCCCAAACTGGTTTGTTTTACTTTGTTAGTTACCATTATTTACTTCAATAAAATGCATATGGTCAAAATTTAAGTCAGAAACAATCAGACCCAAATTCGCTATGAAAAAAGCCAAGTAATTACTGTATGACTCATCATGTACATACTAGTCCACAAAGCAATAAGTCATTACTAGTGAAACGCAGCTTGTTATTTTACGATACACGGGGAACATTTTCAACAACTTTCTCTACACATTTACAGACTCATGACAGTACAAATTGTTCATTACTAAAAATTTAGCTGCTTCTGCTGCAGATACAGTACGACTACATACGTAGACTAAAAAGAGAGTAAAACACTCAGACCCAGAATTTTGGTATTGTTTGTGGAAAACAGGAATCTGTCTAAAATTAGTGTTGTTCATTCAAGAATTCCAATTAAGTGCGAGTCCTAGCAGACAGGATTCTCGTTACTGGCCGCGAGTTCAGGGCTCTCAGAAATAGGGTTTTCGGTGATTCGAATGTCGCTGATTGCCTTGTCCAATGCAGAGGTTTTGCTGTGTACAGAAGAGTTCGAATTGAGATTGATCAAAGCCGTTGTAGAATTGGCGTCTCCTTTCGGAGTCACAATGCCACTTGAAATTGATCCAGATGCGTTGTTGATGGAGGCGTTAGAGCTCGCTGACGATTGTTCACCAACTCCACCCACACCGCTGTCAACTGACATTTTGCGATGCTGAGACACTTTCTTCATTGACAAGCTGGGAACTGTGTAGAGAAATAGTATTTGTAATAAGATTTGTGATAACAACAACTAAGCATAAAGTACATAATACAATTACACAATTAGAGCTTTTTCTGTAGGACATGCGCTAATAAAACAATCTTACAAGCCTACTACGAACAATAATTTTTAACTTATAACGACATGACGTAATAAGGCGTTTAAAAAGTAATGAGCAGACAAGACAATAATTTAAGGAGCGTCATACTTGGGCTTAGGATATAAATATTACTGGTTCGGCTACATGCGGATCAATCACATCACAATACGTATAAAACATGCTTTAAAATGTACTTGCATTCATTATGTATGAAATGTTGTTTTCAAATTGTCAAGTTTATGTCAAAGTTAGGCAAGGCATTAAAATAATGCATTCAAAGTGCACGGCGATAAAACATGTTAGTTGACCGCTATTGATAAAGATGTATCAATGAGAAAGACATGAAAAAGGGGACACAAAATGAAACCCAGATACCCACAAAATTTCACAGAAAACCTGATTCTAAATATTTGCTAATTAATTTGTTAGTCTGTTTCTTGAAATGCTTTTGTATTTATGTCAGAGAGTCTGTCAAGATGCTCTCACAAATAGAGGCTTTCTGTTGACGCTTAATACTGCCCACAGTGATCCATACAAACTTGAACAAACAATACAAAAATTGTGACTACTTCAGAAGTAGTACTTCTGAGAGCAAACTAAACACTTACATAACATAATGAATGCATATAGGCCTTAGTTTTCAGAGCATTCCATCCTGATGACTTTAGTAGCATTTACCTTCTGGCAAGGAGTTCTTCCGAAATAGCTTAAGAGCTTCAGAGGAGCAAAGAGAATCAAAAAATAAAGAAAATATAACAATGAATAATATAGTCGTTCTAAGATAAATATGGCCATAAGTTTTTAAAAGAACTTAAATTCACTTGACGTGGCAAAAGTTCAATAAAACCACCACACACGATATCACTGATCACAACACGAGACGATCAAATGCTGACTATAGCTGCATCCATACTCCATGGTTTCAGGGTAATTGGACCGTGAAATCACAGAGTATGTGTGATACTAGACTAAATTATTGACAAATATAATTAGAGTTATACAATGCCCAGGAGATGGAAATTAATGCTCGGAATTTCGGGCAGCAAAAACGCTAAATACCTGTGCATAAATAAAACTCTAAATATACGTAATATCCCAAATATCTATCACGATTGTTTGACTTTTAGTATCTTTGGTTCTCTGAAAGGTCGCAATAAATGTCTCAAGCCTCAATATTACAGTGGTAAAATATAATATTATCCACGTGGGCAAAATGGCAAAAGGGATTGGATCGGTGGAACGAAAAATGTTTTACTGTATATAAATAAAGTTGGGTATATTATAAAATACAACCAGATAAAATACTCACTGAATCACTTATACTAATCGTAAGTTTTGAAAATGTTCGGATAGACACAGAGATAAAAGGGGTCTAACGGCTTTCAATTTTGCCAGAGTTAAACACACAATTTTCCACCCCAATCACAACTTAGGTATGTAGATGTAGATACTAAAAGTAAACCAATCGTGCACGCGGCACAAGTACTGTGTGACCTTGCGCGTGACAGCTCCACTTGATTTTTTGGGAAACCGGAATGATATTTTGTTGACGGACCAAATGTTCCAGTTATAGTAAGTAGTGATATGTTTATTAACTACCGTAGCCTTGTCCTTGCAGGAATAACCGAAAAGCTTCACTCAATTTGGCTGGTTGTTCTTCCATCACCATTCCACAGTCTTGAATCTTATTAGAGAAATTTTATTTTTGGGTCAGTTAATCAGAATTACTGCCACATATGCAGGTTTTTAATGTTGCCATTTATACCTTCATCCACGTGGACGTGACTGGGTCGAGCCTCCCGTTGAAGGTTACAGTGTCATCAACGTGTGGCGAGAAAGCTCCCGTTACATTGAGAAGTGCCATTTTTAAGGTGCGCACTTCCTTCCTCCTCATGGGATCTAACGTTCTCTCAATGTTCAGATCAGTTCGGCGAATGTAGCTGTCGATGAACATTGCCAAATTAGTGGGGTTGACATTCGATTCAAAGTACTGGCGGTAGACGGTGGTCAAATCGTGGTTTCGATCTTCATTGACCTGTGGAATAGATATACATTATGATGATGATTTGACGTGTTGATTTTGAATTAATTTTGTTAGTTTCTTACCTTTCCAAAATGATGCCACATTAGGTAGTCAAGCACGCCCTGAATTTTAAGAACGCTTAAGTTAAACAATGGAAATATTATGGCATTTTATTTTAGCAAAATTAATCGCAATACGCGAATCTTAAGTGAATTTGTTGAGAGAGCTATCATTCGAGCGACAAAAAAGGCTATGAACTGGCCCACCAAATAATTTCCTATAATTTATTTATTTCAAAGCAATTACCTGGGTCATGACACCCTTAGCTTTCAAATTTCGCGAGTTCATTTTTTGATATCCCCACTCGATCCAGCCAGACTGGGTAGAAATACAGTTCAACACGCACAAAGCGTCCACTTTCTCCTGATGAGACAATGCAAATCGGCAGAGAATGTTAGCTGAAACAAAACAAACATTAATTGATTTTGTAATTTTACTACAATGCAGCTCGAAGAAATCGTATACATAGAATTGGGCTGGGTATCAAGACAATCACATTGTCCACTCCCGTTATACTTGTCCAATCATCATCGCATTAGACGGAAATATAAGGTTTTTAGTAATTTTACTAATTGGAATTTGTTTTGTTTAGTGTATCACTAATACATCTACTAAATTATTGGATCGAAACATTTGTATACATTTGTTGCGAAGGCCCTTTCTCTTCAGTTTTTATAAAATAAAAATAAAACCTAACCTCCAGCTCCAACGCCGAAACCTACAACTCGCTTCAGACCAAAATGGACCAATACATCCAAAAGCTGTTCAGCCAACTCGTCCATCGTAGGGTAGACATATGTTTCTGGAAGAGTTGTTGCATTTTCTTCTTGTCCCGGAGCCTAATATTATAGTACACAAAAACAAGTCATGTAGTATTAGATTACAAAGATTGACTACTAGAACAAATCATAACAGGTTACGCAAAAAAATTACATTGACGTGGTAGACGCAAAAGTTTTGCAGAAGAAGCCGCATGTCCACAAAGTTGAAAAATGCTTGATAGTTGGAAACATCTGGAACAAATTAATTCAAATAATTTAGTAAGAGTATTTGATTCCTTCAATACTTTGAATTAGTAAAACATGTATGTACAAAATATTTATTTTCTCTTACAGTTCAGGCCAAGATCATGATACGTCAAGATTGCAGGCTTGGACCGATCTCCTTGAACAGCTACATACGAAATAGATCAGTCATTTTCAATTGAGCAATACGAAGTGTCAGTTTTGCCATAAAATGTAATACTTACCCACGAGAAGCGATCCTAAATTGGTCTCAACCCGTTCTTCAGAAGCAATTCCCTCGCCACGTGCAAGTGACCGAGTAGATGGAAATGAAAGCTGAATGTTCTTCAACTCGACCTCGTCCATACTTTCCGAAGGGTTGCACCTGAATAACGTTGATATCGAGTTATGTTAATGATAAGCTGTGTAATACTGGATTAGACGTGCACAAGAAAATGCATAATACAGTACAGCGTTACAACAATAGATTTTTTTAATTATTTAGCTAGACTCTTATTTACAATAAAAATCCAAGGGAACGTGCATATCACAAACCAAACGGACCAATGTGGAAAAATAAAAATAAATCAAGCAAGCAACTCTATAGTACTAATAGTACGGCAAGCAAGAAATCACTGATAATCACTGATTATCATTCAGGTTCGACCATGAATACAGGCAACAAAACATATAGTACTTACTAATAAGATTAAGTTTTTTTGAAGAGAGAAAAGAATGTGCAATCACCAAGAAGCGTCAGTGCTGAAGGAATGAGTCAAAGTTGACATGTTCCCAAAGAAGTGAAACACTTGTTCACCAATAACGCGGACACTAAATTATAATTTAATGCTGTGGCTGTGTTTTAGTACAGTACGAGAGAAAGCTGAATATCGAAATTCAAATCGATATATTATTTCTAGGCTGGAATTTTATTGTCGATTTCGGTGAATATTATAGTTAGCTTCTGCCAGTGATGTTAAATCTTGAACGTTACGAGAGATAGGGATCCAACGCCCAAAAAAGCCTACATAAAGCAATCAATTAATTATTGATGCAGGACACAAACCGTGATATATATGTACCTAGAGGAGTAGAATATGTATATTAAACTGCCAAATGATTTTTGCAATTACGGAACTTCATTAAAAGTGCACTTGTCCATAAAACTTGGAGGAAGCCAATTTACTGTCAGTACTGTATAAGTGTAATATACATATTGGATCCACTCTAAACTGGCTGCCTAATGCTCCTTTCTGCCGTACAGCAGATGAAATGTCAATGATGGTGTAAGATGATGCGAAGCAAACCAAGTTGATGACTATTAAAGTTTATGTTCATAAACATAAGGATGAATATAGTTCAATCACTTATTCAATCAGTTCTCGTGGCAAGTAACCGCAGTCAGAAAATATCACGAGAATGGAGTGCAGGGTAGTTGAGAGTCTTGTGGAAAATCGATTTCGTTGGAAGCATCACGACAAGATTCGGAAGATGTGTGGTGCATTCCGGTACTAGAAATACCCGGCATCAAATAGCCCTTTTGCATCAAATCATGGAAGGGAACCGAAATCCACATCTTTTACCAAAGTGTAAGCAAACTATTTTTGAATCCAACGAATGTAAGTTAATTTTGTAAGAAAAAATCATATGCAGATACTCTGACTGTTCATGAAATAAGATAATCTGGAGCCATTAGACTATTACATAGAGCATAACACCAGGAGCAATATCTCAAGTTACATACATACATTAAGAAAATAGAAGGTCAATCTTAGGTCAAAAACATGACTCATTGAAGGAATTAAGCCACATCAATTAATCTTATAAGCAGTACTGTCGAGAATGACAATACTTAAGAAGAGATGAAGCATACATATGTAGACACATTGGAGTTTGACTTTAGAAAAAGAGTGAGCAGGCTTTAATTCGCTTTAATAGCCTGGGACATTAAAATATATTGTTGGTTTGTATAGGGAGACATAAATTAAGCGATATTATAGTGACACAGACAGACTCAAGAGTTGTGTAGCGAAAAATAATAATATTGCTCGCATAATTCGTTAAAATCACATATGTATATGGCTTACCCAAGGAGGGCCGCCTCCTCCATCGATGTTGAAGTTGGCATTCTACGTCCTTTGTTATCCCTGAGCATGAGTAATTTATTTATTCGTAATTTACCATAAAATATACACATTTAAATATGTATCACAGTCTTTGAATAAAATCTTTTAAATAGTTAGCCACAGACAGCTCCAAATCCCTTAATATGCATATGTGCACCTTTCACCAGGTAATACTATAGATAAATAAATACAATCGCACCGCACCATCACCACATGACCCTTAATTGATTATGATATCCTTATTTTATGTCATATTCCGACATCCAAAGCAAATTGGGCAAATGCATTAATATTTTTCATGTAGAGAACATAATTCCAGAACTCGAATTTTATTAGCAGAACTTATTACATACCGTATTTCGATGTCGATGGTATAATCCTTTGGGAGAACCATATCGAAATCGCGATTACTTTAGTCTCTAGTTTCCTTACTAATCTACCACAAAGCCTAGGAACTGGATTACTTCTTTAAAACTTGGAATTGGACTAAAGTTGAAATTATGGTTTGCTAATTGCGTTTCAAGTGAAGAACAAGTGCAGGAAAGTAATTATACAAAATCGGGTGTGTGAGGAGAAGCGTGATGGCTACCAATGCATACAAAACACCTTACCCTGAATATTAATACCCATTACATTACTATGTAAATCAAGCATTATGGATGCTTATTGCATTATTACAAACTATTTCTTGTCCATATAGCCATAGCTGGTGTGTTACCTTCGAAGTAATCTCTCATAGTTTGATCCAGCACCGTGAGCAGCTAATAATGTTGCGTCTTCATGAATATGAGGCAGAACAAACACGCTCTGAGAAGCTCGGAGAGCTCCTGACCCAGAATAATTTCCCCCACGAAAAATTCGCTTCACGGAATTCGAAAAACTGAACTTTTCCTGCCGTGGTGTTGGCATCACGTAATCGAAGGAAGGCCTCGTGGTACTTCTGTACACATCGTTTTCTCCTGAACTGCCCCCTTGGTCATTCAAGGCCGAGTATGAACCACTTAAAACAGACCTCATTGTTGTATCAGCGGAAGGATGATATCACATGTGACGAATATACTGTAAGGTACGGACGGACGCGAAGTTTACACTCAACACTAAAAATTAAAGCAACAATCTATACTGATAACACCAAAGAATTCCAATTATATTTCACTGTGATGTTGTGAGACAACTGTTGTTCGTTACAGTCACCATTTAGTGTAGTAAGTGTTAAATGAATTGGACAAATAATGAATGAAATCCAGTTACTCTGATGTCAAATACTGCTATGAAATTTGGATTCTGAGCACAAGTGCAACGTTAACTCTCCTTACATACTTGCTTCTATTTATTCAAAATGAAAAATAATGAACTATTAATCAAGTCGGTCCAAAGATATGTGTGTATGTGATGAGCAGAAACTTGATCAAAATGACCGACAATTCTGTGGTAGTTGAACCTTTGACACCAAACAAAGCAACAATCACTGGCTGACACTATCACAGATGATCTGATGTCGCATTCCTTAGTGTGCATGTAACAACCCAGGTATTATTTATTTTTACCAGACATGTTATGTTTTATTGTGCCGGTACTGTTTTTAACTAGCTGCAACTACACAGCTATAAATCTGGAATTATTGAGATCGTAAACTTTATTTATGCCACTACACAACATTGATGTAAACTGCTGCGTGTAGCGAATACAAAAGGATATGGGTGAAACTAACACACTAATCTAAAACTCGGGGGTAGTGTCGCTTCGGAATAAATCAATTTTGTACGGCGAAATGGAACGGAATAAAAGTTATCGGGGACCATTCACCACCGTCTTAAATATATTGGGGAAAGCCAAATGCAGGTCCCTCGTCGATACCAAAATGCTCCAATTTTTTCCCGTGCATTTCACCTTCCTTCAATCCGCTCACACTACTACAAGTTCTACATGATTGATCAATCACCTTTCAACCACTTTGCAAGCACGTTCGTGTAGCTAGTAACTGGATTAAAGTTTTGTTGTTTAGAGATGACGTTTGTGCAAAGTCTAACAAAAAAAACAACTAATCCATGAATATGAAATACGGTCGTCGTCACCATATTCGTTAGTCTATAATTTATTAACAATAATGTATAGCCTACCTGAATACAACTCCTGCCTGCCTGAAATTCGCCAAATAATTAATGTGTGGTCGTGTGTATTCCGATAGAGGCATATGTGTACATGTATAATAGGCACATGCAAGATGTGGAATGGCAATTGGTTATTACACCCTTTTGTATTATACATACAACATAGAGATGGACAATTTTGCAATGTTTATCCATGAATTGAATGAAAAAATACAAGCCGTTATTTGCTAACGGCTAACCCAATTTCAGCAATGCTACAGTCATAGCGTCGTAAAATATTATCAATGCAATTTTGTTAGCCTTAGTGTTATCTTCTCGCAGACACTGATAAAACAGAATTGGCATGCAAATATTTACCCAACTTTCATCTTCGCACAACCTTTCTTTAATATGATGAACTCGTAGTAATTCTACGCACACTATAGTTAATGATACCAATCAGTAATTTTGAATACAGGAAATCTAAACTAGAAAACATCCAAGACATTAAGATATCAAAATAGCGTATTATAGAATTTGATACAATATCGAATGTATTAATCAAGACAATAATGAATAGGTTCTACAAAAATCCAAACTTTCATTTCACTGAAAATCGAAGCTACTTAATTCTACCAATCCAAACGCACACAACCATTTGATAAACTGAAACGCAATGTTTGTCAGAGAATGGTCTTCTTACCTGAATTTATATACTGCAAAATAAGCACGTGATACTGCACCCCTTTTTTACTGAGCTATTATTCACAATCCTCCTAAATGTATGGGAAGTAATTATTGGAAATCAGTTCTATTTCAGCTCTAGTCTTTACAATCTTGCTCAACTTTATTAATTGTTTGAATAATAACGTACCTTTTGAAACATTCAACTGGATATTCGTTTTCGCTGTTTGGGCTTGATGCAAAAATTCAGCGTTGCAGAAAATCCTATGAAAATAAAACAATTTCCAGGACCCGTTATAAATAATTTATAGACTAATCCTAAGACCCAAGCGTTGCTTGGCTACTATTTAAAAGTTCAGAGAAACATTTCTCCACAAAAAGTTCAGCAATCCAAGGTGTGGCGCTTGGCTTTTGTTTTATATAATTTGTGTATTGTGTATATTTATTTGCCGTATTTCGTAGCTCGTATTACGTATACCTCGTATGTACTATAACTTCTAAGGATGTATGTACTCCTAAACTTTTATTGGGAGTGACGTATGTACATATACATACTTATCAGCAAATAATTTTCCAAGTTTGCTGAAAAACATTGCTCGCCTTTATACCCACGCCATAAATAAGAAAAAATCATCTAAAGAAAGATTACTATTTTAGCAATCTTGAGATTTTGAACATGTAATGATATGTACATATTTATGCACACAACGTATCACTAGGAATAAATCGTTCGTATTTATTTACCTGTGAAAAATCCCATTATAAATGTGAACAATCGTATATACGAAAGTAAATTAACAATATTAACCTAATATGCAATGACTTTCTCCATCAGCTAAACGGTTGAGCATTGCCGTTCAGTATCAACCCTGATTTTGAATTATGCACTAGCATATCCTCCAGAATAATAGTCAAGTTCGTTACACCTAGACCCTTTAATTTTACATTTACTATTGATTTCATAAGTTTAAAACCTTTTCACCCTAAACTGAACATTAAAAGTAAGCACATGGCCACCACCCTACATCAAGTACACACACATGTTCTTGTTTATATATTATCGGAATTACACAAAACAATACTTACCCAGGTTTTAGCAGAATTGAACCAACAAATTAATTGGGAAAATTGGGAAACTTATTATGCTTGATGCTTATTTATCGCTTTCTTCACTCACTTATTCACAGGCTGTGTGTGATGTGTGATCTGGAGAAATTGGGATGCTTGGAGACGGGGGAAAGCACAACAAACGAATTTGAGCCCTCGCGGCTCAGAGGTAAACTCGTATTCTTTGCAACAAAGAAAATTTCACCAACTTTCACCTAAACTTTCTCCCCTCACGGCATCTCCTCTGTCAGGGCTGATCTTATTGGAAAAGGCCAAAGGTAATAATGGGCTGAAAAATGTATTAATTAACTATTCAGTAGGTCAGAGTTCACGATAAAACTTGTCAGTCGGTACATGCAATGGGTTGCAACTGCATATTTCATACTTTCACTTCCATTATCTATCTATTTCTACACAGATTATAGTACCACCATTACAAATTTAGTACTCGAATTACAATTATTTACTGTAGGAATAATTTTTTTCAGATAATTTCATAATTTTCGGTTTAAAGGAAATTATTATATATGGATCATTAGCAATTAATGTGCCCTGCGTAAGGATCGGTTTGCGTCGTGCAGATTAAAGGACACATTTTTTTCTTCAGAGAGAGGACAGAGGCTAGGACATGAAGTTTTAATTGCTGGCATAAGTCTCATGGATGGAATAAGCCTCATCTTAGCATCTTATTCTATGTATTATGTATACAACTCTGGCTCGACAACCCTTTTCTCTGCATTGTACGCAAATGTGACATCTGCTGAAGAGATTGAGCAACGCCATGGTTTGTGCAGTAGTCGTCGTGAGGAAGGGTTTCGTTGAATCTCGGGAGTAATACCACTCCTTCTGGCCATGGCGTCCAATGGAATGGTGCCCTGTTGTAAATCCTCATGTCAATGCCCAGTCCACCTGTTCGCCACTATCACGGCTCACTATTATACTGCTCATTTAGCCACTGATTGATCTCACATATCATCATATCATGCCAAGTGCAGTTAGCTAATTGACTCCATTTAAGATCTGCTGCATGTGCGCCCGGTCCAGCCATTTCCATTTATATCCCTCGTCAAGTGGTAGGTTAATCACCACGCTACTCCTGCAAGTCTCGTCCCCCGTTAGCAATCCCTCTGTTTTCAGTTGACCTACACACTTGGTTCATCGTCGGCTATCCGGTCTTCCTCCCTGATTTATTTATCTACCTCATTTTATAAAAATGAATCGGTTTCTCGGGCTCACAGCGGCGTTGGTCGCCATTTTAGCAATAATTCCTCATATGGCGACAGCCGAAGAGGAACTGAAAATTGAAGTTTTGCACAAACCAGACGACTGTACCGAAACCTCAAAGAAAGGTCAAATGTTGACGATGCACTATAAGGGAACGTTTGAGGATGGGAAGCAGTTTGATTCCAGGTATGAATTTTTGATCCGGATTGTATATTTGTAACTTACTAACTGTATCCCGTTTTCGGATATATGAGACTAATGAGACATACTCTGTTCTTTTTTTAGCCATGATCGCAATCAGCCATTTACATTCCAAATTGGGATTGGACAGGTGGTGAAAGGTTAGACGATAAAAATGTCTATTTCAGCTCCTTTCGATTGAAATAGAAATCATGAAGTGTCATCCTGATGAATTATTTACTTATCCAGGTTGGGACCAGGGATTATTAGACATGTGCGTGGGCGAAAAGAGAAAATTGATCGTTCCTCCCCACCTCGGATATGGAGAACAAGGCGCAGGAGAGGTCATACCTGCAGGTCAGAAGAAGTCACTGCTATTTCAGATACATAATGATGCACTAAATTTTCTGTATAATCATGAGCATTTGTCGATCATGAGAAGTATGCAGTATACTTTGTCATTATCGCGAACCTCATTAGCAAACAGCATACTATTTTCAAGGACAGACACATAAATTATTGCCATATCTAAACGTACACATATTTGTGTATAACTTACAGTGACACTTTATAAGTGGATATATGTATATGGATTTCATAATTGACAGTAATTATAGTGATTGCTACTTACCAATGCATAATGTACACAGACCAATGTGTGCGTTTTCTTTTAATAACCCAGAATTACTTACCGGTGATAGCGACTATCCTATAGATGTGCATAGTGTGTGCTATTGCTGCTGAACATTCATATCTTGAGCATTTTTGTATAATGTACATAGATTCATGGTTAATTCTTGCAGGTGCTACACTTGTGTTCGAGACTGAATTGCTCAAAATTGAAACGTCTCCTCCAGTTGTTAACGTATTCAAAGAAATTGATTCCGACGGTATGGTATCAATTGATCAATGAAATAATGTCTGCTATAAAGCACATACTAATTATTCAATGCTTCTTATATATGTACATAGGAGATACGCAACTTTCCCGCGATGAGGTATTTTTCTATTAATTAAAAAAATGTTTTGTGTTCGCATTGTTCTTATTATTTATTATGGCTAATTCATTTTTTTCGTAGGTGAGTGGTTACTTGAAGAAACAAATGGAGACAATGAAAGCAGAAGGCAATGCTGGACAAGATGACGAGTTGAAAAAAGCAATGGAGGATCATGACAAACTTGTAAGTGCCCAATTATTATTATTGTCGTTTTGATTTGTTCACAAATAATACGGAGACATTGTTTTACAACAGGTCGAAGAAATTTTCCAGCATGAGGATCAAGACAAGAACGGGTTTATTTCTCACGACGAGTTCAGCGGCCCTAAGCATGACGAGCTATAAAAATTTATCAAATTATTAGATATAATTTTTTAACTATTAAATTAGGATTCAGATGCCTTCCATATAATGAATTGAATGCGAACCACCAAAAAGGTAACTTAATAATATATTCCGAGTGTAACTTCCTTTAAATAATCATAAACATCGAGAAACGGGCAGGCAAATTCCAATTTTCTACTAACTGACATTCTGGGTTAATTGAAATGTAAGACATAACATATACTAAAATTAATATTTGCTGATGGGTACCACTTTTTCAGTTTTATAATGAGAAAGATGTGTCAGTCATAAGGTGCTCATTTAATGTTAAGTTTTGCATAATAATAAATATGTATTTCAACAAAGTAAACTTAATAAACATTGTTACGCCAAGGAATCTTAATTATTGATCGAGTGAAACTATTCTACATATTATGAAATTCATATTTTTAAGACAATTTTTTCAAAACGTGCTTTGTTAATTAGTTTATTTATTCGTTTGTTACTCAATTTCGTTGATGGTCAACGTTCGTCGAAATAAATTGATACAATCTGCATTGGATTATCTTTTGAAATTAGACGTTATTGTAGCAATCTGTATATTATGCTTTTGCATATCGATGAATATATCATTTTCATGGTATTCTTGATGATGGACAATTGCATAAAAATGCATAAGAATCAATATGCTTTGTCAGGTAAATGAATATGCAATTTTAGTTTGAAAAAAAGTGTGGTGCTGAGAATGCGAGGATCTCGACTTTATATGCATATGTATACCACTACGGTTGCAACAATTAAATATGAACGCCACACTCAATCTCAATGACTCCAATTCCAGTGACAATTGCATTCTCAAGGTTAGAAATGACCTTCAACTGTTTACTCCGGCAAAGGTACATATATTCATACGTATTTACGTACCTTTGCTTTAGTTACATGGGTACTATTTAGCACACCTAACATAAACTCTCCTAATGGATAAATTGGCTCGCTTCACACTGGAACATCACTGACTTCTTTTTGAAGGACTATTTCACCACCATATAATGGCAGCACATTCAATTTGAGACTCCAGAATATTGTCCAGGCTGGATGGGTGGGAGCAATTTTTTCCACTCTGAAGAGAATGCATCAAATTCGTGAATTGACGTTTCAGAGCATCCAAGACTACCTCTCGTGTTTTATTACATTTTCCCTACTTGAGTGCACAGTGGACATCTCGAAGGTGGAAGGTTGAAGAAGGAGGAAATATACCTTTTTTCCTGTTACTAAATAACACGGTGCGAGCCAACCTGCCAGAACGGCAAAGTGATGCTGGCGACCGTCAATGAAAGCATTGTTACATATACATAAGTGAGCAAGGTGAACAATGAAAAATGCAGAAAAATTCAAAAAAATGTGTGTACCTTTTTGACTGTCAACTGACTGTTAATAGCTTGAATCTTTTTCAACGACCACAACCTCCGATTATTTGGGAAGCACATTAAATCTGATTTGAATCATTCCAATACGTTTGGCACCTACGCCGTGATGTAAAGCTCATTCCTTTCCCATTCAACAATATTGAATCGTTCATGCATCTTTCCTGCATCTTTTTATGAAAATTATCCTGGCATTTTTCAGAAAATACTCCTTCTTCTGTCAACTCGAGAAGCAAAAGCTCAAAAACTCCTCATTCCCAATGATTACATGCACTATATGAATGTGGATGCGTCTGAAGGGGTTGTGGGAGGAGATTTATTTGTGTTCATTTTCAAATTAAACTTTTTTGGCTCTTCCCACATCATGCAGTAAGTCTTTCTTTGTAGGTGATTGTCTTCGTAATTTGACAAGACTTGATACAGCCAGGAGCATTTTCATGAAGGATGGCATGTCAACTCTACACCCTGTCTATCCATCTATATACATAATAAATCCACTCTTCATGTCTCCTCATCATACACAGAAAACATTATGGTCGGGTAGAAGCTTTTTTATATTCTCACACACATTTCTCGAGTAAAAATTGTGGTTTAGGATTTTCTCCCATGGCGTGGCATTCCTCTCTTCTCAATTTACGTTAGATTGTTGAGCTTCTTCCACTACTCTATCCATGCACATTTCTTTTCAGGTTAAGAACTTGAGATGACGAAAAGTCAAAGGAATGAGAAAATAATGTGAATAAGGAGCGAGGGTGGATGGTTGTAATTTTTTGAGGAGTTGGTTATTATGAATGCATAAGAAGGTTCTCATCCGTAATACATGCTCCGTCGTATACTCATCCATGCTTTCAAACTTTTAACAATAATTGTATAAGATCAGGCTCAACTGGAGTCTTTTTAACTCCCTCGCACCAACAACACAACATCCACCGAGCCCAACCACCAGCAAGCAACAACTGTTGTGAGAAATGCCATGCCATGCACCAGGGTTATTCTTGTTGGTCTTTAGAATTCAAAGTTCTTATTGAGAATGGAAACTGAGACAGAGACCAAATGAAACCAAGTTGTTGGCAGTAAGAAAATTCTCTCCCCTTCTTTCGGTGTTACCATCGAGCGTACTTGTGGTCGTCAGTTGCGTCGTGTCAGTTGCATCAATCACACTATAGCGTTCTTCAACTCATATTAAGTAAGGTGACTTTCCAGTGACAAACCTACATATATTCTTCACACAATAAAGAAACTAGCAATTTTTAAACCAATTTTACAACCAATTTATGTATTTCATCAAAGTGTAAGAAGACGCCTGAAAACTTTTAAAACAAGCTCTAGATTCTTTCATGGAACTGGAAACATTCGCATTTATAACCCAAGCCAAGAAGACACACACGTTTACGAGAGGAGAACCTGTTGCATTCGCGAGTTTGGAGAAATACTGAAAATCTTCTTGGTTTAATGAGTCTCATCTTGACTCATCACTTGACTTTCATGCCATGAGACATGAGACATGTTAAGACAAAGACCACAATCCATTGTTATTTCTATCCAGTAGACAATTACAATTAGCTTGTTTGACAACTTAACTAACTCTGCAAACAAACATTATTCCACGAGAGGACAATCTGCCCAAGTACATAAACTGAACTATATACAAAGAATATACACATAAGTATATATATATATAAAACAATACAGTGTAGTCAATTGTGATTCTTGTTTGTTTATATTTTATTGAAGATTTATCGGCTGGATTTACCCAGTTATAACAATGTTATATAAACAAAGTGACTAGAGTTTCAATTATGTATCCTAACTCCAATTATGCACAACTTCCCCGAGTAAACTTGACATTTAAGTACTGAATATTTGTGAATATATAACTCTAATTGTTATGTGTATGTTGCACATGCAACGTGTGTGTGACATTGTGTATCTGATACGTGATACGTTCTATGTAATTGAAGCTGCAGTTAATTAGTCTGACATTTCACATTATCGGACAACGACTGAACCAGTTTCAACGAGGATAAGCAAACGGAACCACCAACGTGTGAGTAATCATCAGTTATTCTGACTGCTGATGAAACCCATATTATCAAAAACACGCTGGTCGGGATTCGCGTAATAACTCATTTGGCATAGGAGGACAGTCTACAAACAAAACATTAACCACTTTTACGTGGAGGCAGTGTCAACACAAAAAGTGCATTATCTCACAAGTACTAAACTATACAATACATAAATACAGGTATATATTGACCACCAGGCAAAGTGATCCGACATAGCACGGCAGAATCTTCTCTCCAGTAGTGCACCAATGTTACGTTTGCATTCCACGTACATATTCCAGCAGCCCATTTAACTAGATTGATGCACGAGGAGTAACCGAATTAGTCATCAGCGTCATACCTTATTTTTGACTAAGTTATTCCATGCATCATCATCTCTCATAACGCGACTAAAGCACATTGAGAGTGGAATATTCATACGTAATATTTTTATGTGTACGCGGACTATTGTTTTACATCCCGTGTCATCACCGACCTTTGCAAGTGCCGATAAACGTTGTTATCACACTAATTAAAGAGTGGGAATATTACTACATATTCATTTTACCTCGTGGCATATTTGGCTTGAGAGCAAGAAATATTTTCCATTTCATGAGATACATGTTAACCTGAAAACCTCAAGTTTCGTTTGTAATATTCCATTGAGAAAAAGGTCTCGTTACAAAGAAAGGTTGGAATTGAATGAAGGTGAAGTTTCATTCATGAAGTTTTAAAACTGGATTTTCCGAAGGTAATATATTCAACAAGGAGTCGAATCCAACCCGTTGGCCGTCCATCGTCCAGTGCCACACTCCTAAAAAAATAAAAAGAAAAGAAATTCGACGATGAACATCGTTCAACCATCCATCATTCATCTACGAATGTCATCCGTGATTTTATAAACGTGACTTGTTAATCATTGAGAATTTTGTCTTTGTTGCGTATGAATCTCTAGACGCTGTTGTTCTGCGTGGGACTGAATGGAGATTATGTATTGATCGACATATACTTAAGATTGAGACGATAACAATAGTGAATTATGCAAAAGTTTCTGATTTAACAACTCTCATAATTTTTAATTAATACACACAAATTGTACAAAAACAATGGAAAAAGTAATCCGAAGCAACCCTCGGGGCATGACACGGCGGAGGAAGATCTGGGTTGTCTTTATCCATTTGATGGTCTTGACGAACTCTGGGATGAGCAACGCCAATACGTCGGATCAGACGGGAAGGATGGAAGAACGAGGTTCGCATTTGCCATTCCAAATTATTATTTATGCAATCATTTGCCAAAGCTTTTTTTATTTATGGCTCTGCCTTTTCATTGCGTATAACTTTATCAAAACACTCGTCTGTCTGGCTCGTGCATAAGTAAAATATTTGTGCTGTCAGCTATCCTGACAACGCCTATGTTTAACGAAAAATCTGTTACACTGCAAATGCAGCAAATTCCCAATTTGAGCATAATAAGAGCGAGCGAGTGGTAATTGAGGTTTGCAGATTCACTTTGAGAAAATCATGCACTATTAGACCGAAGTGTAAGAGTTATAACAAGTTGTTCCAGCCATAAATTGATTAGTGTAGTCGTCCACCCACACATTTACCGACGAAAATCAACGCTACACATGTCTTGTGTATTTATTCATTGCTTTGCTACATTGTCGTTATGATTATGCATGATAAACCAATCAGTGATTCGAAAAAGGCAATGGTTAAAAAATTGTTCAACAAATTATCCTGGCATTTAAACTATACGTACAAGATGAAATCTCTCCAGAATAAATTGGTCGTCCAGATGTTCGGGAGTGGTTATTAAGTGTGAGTACTGATCATAATTTTCAAATCCGTATTCGAACATGCATTGTTAGCATGTCTTCTTCCATTGTACGCTACCTATTCTTCGGACTATATTGTTCATAATGCACTAGTTGACAAAAAAAGTATTTGAGAACGAGGATGACGAATGAAAAATGATCCTTAATCTTGAAGATTGTATCTTCCAGTCCCGATCCTACAATGTAAACTAGATGCGTCAAATAGTTTTGTTAGGTATATTCACTTACATAATTTTGCAATCCTTAAG